GCCCAATTAGCAGAAAAAGCTTATCTTTTTAGACTTTGATTAGAATGCAGAGAATTGGAGGAGAGCTGAAAATGGCGAAGAAATGAAGCTGAAAGTTGAACGTTGCTATTATTTTCTGGGCATAGGTAATTTCTACTTCTTCTTTCTATTGTCGTTGAAGGCTGTATTTATGAATTTGATGTGTAGGTGGAGCTGAAAGACTAATTGTAGATGTGGCTGTTGAACTTGTATCCCATGGGCATAAAGTTCACGTTTTCACTGCACACCATGACAAAAATCGATGCTTTGAGGAGACCGTTTCTGGTGTCTGTGCTTTCTCTGTTTCAATTTTATGTTCGATATTATAGATTCATGGTATCTGTGTAAAATAGTAGTGGGGTTTACTTGAGGTTGGATTGTGTATGGTACAAAAAATCGAACAGGAGTAACTCTGTTTTTCCTTTTTCATATGGAAGTTTGTTTGAAAGTTGAATGAAAGATTTACATGATGACCTATTTTACAATAAAATATTGAAAATGACAGTTTCAAGTCGTCTTGGTGTGTGTACTCTGAGAGAAACAGGATTAGAAACAGAGACCTGCTATAGGAACTTCATCAAACAGGGTACTACATAGATAATGGATACAACACCGTGGGATTGGAAGATGGTTTATACATAGTTAGAACAAACATATCAAATTTTCTTTTCTTTCCTTGTCCTTATTTCTCAGTTTCACAGTGTTCAACCGTCATTTAAAATCAGCGCATTGTTTGATGTTTTAATGTCATCTGGTTTCCCAGTATCTTTCCTGTTACTGTATATACATCTTCGTGCTTTGTGTGCATTTCTGAGGTGCCTTTTTGTTGCTCTCTGTGTGCTGGTCCTGTGGCCATCATTTGATGTACTACTAGCAGATCAAGTTTCTGTTGTCATCCCAATGCTACAGCTTAAGAAGACAACAAAGGTATTTGCCCCTATTTGATGTGATGTTGTTTAATATGTTACATCTTTATGTCCAGGTTTTGTTTTATTGTCATTTTCCAGATATTTTGCTAGCTCAACACACACACACACACACACACACACACTATTTTGAGGAGTACATATAGGAAACCTTTAGATTTCATAGAAGAAATGACAACTGGTCTGATTCCATATCTTGGCTTTATCATATTTATCTGATGTGTCTTGTGCACCTTTTTAGTGTTCTTTTGCAGTGATCATACTACTATTTCTCACTGATTTATAAAAAAAAATAAAATTAAATAAATGGCTGCAGGAATGGCAGATAAGATTCTTGTTAATAGCAAATTCACAGCATCTATGTTTGCAAAGACATTTAAGAATCTTAACGCATGAGGAATTCAGCCAGTCTTTACCCAGCTGTTAATGCGAAACAGTTGATGAACCCACCAATTCGTATAAGTAATGAACATGTTTGTATATTGTTTACAGTTTCTTTGATGATTTTCATTTCCGAATTTTATGTGGTAGCTTACTGTTGTTTTCGTGCTTTGATATTTTCCTTGTTGTAGGATAAATTTTCTGTCGATAAACTGTTTTGAGATGAAAAAGAATATAGACTTGGAAATTTCAGCTTTCGCTATGCTTTGTACCCTTGAAAGAGATGTGCTTCAAGTTCCTATCACTGAGTAATCTATTAATCTCACTGATAGACATGTTATACTAAGTTATCAACTAATAGGTAAGAGAAAAAAATAATTTATAGGGATATGCGTGTTCCTTCATTACTATATAACCTTGTCGAAAGACCATATGATATTAATAGACTATCAATTACCAAGCAGAAGCATGCAGTAATCACGTGGTTGTGATATTAAGCTTTCCCTTTAGGTTCATTTGTGTGTTGAAAGTTTTATGGATCTTGCAATTTAATTATAATATCTCGACGTGGAAAGACATTTTTTTCTCACAGTAAATTATGAAACATTAGCCTGTAGATGTTATATCTAGAATTTAGGTGTCACTACTGGATTGCTTCAGATTATGTAGTGGGCTTGTGAAGGCCTACATTCCTAGTCAATCCTGGAGTTGTTATTTGTGGAAGAAAACGAAGCTTATGTAGAATGAATAGCAGCAAACTATTATGCTGTTATCTGATTTAGTATCAGATGGCTCTTTTAAAGCAAACTTGTCTGACATACTTGCGAATCGAAACCCTGGATAGATGTTCAAATTTCCTTTTGTTATTACAATATATTAGTGCTTAGTTAGTTGTGTGTGTGTTCAAATTTCCTTCATATGTCAAGATATATAGAGATGTCAAAATGAATTTAGTTTGACTGGAGGATAATACACTCTTCTTATCTCTCAAAATTTACTCAGCAAGGTTCCAAACAATGCTCTTAGATCAAAACATTATGTAGGGATGGTATGAACTGCCTAAAGATAGAATTCTTGAACAGTAAACAACCATAGCTATTACTCACTACAGCAAAAAATTTCCATTAATGAAAGATTTAAAACCAGGTTTTTTTAATTTTGTACTGTATTAGCTATAGTCTAAACTTTTTGGGATATTAAATCTTGTCTTAATGTACAGTTAGGTCATATTGGGATTCTTATGAGTTCGTCACTGAGATGTATGGGGTTTCCTTTTACCAATTGCAGATGCTGTGTAAAAATGCACATTGGATTATTGTCTGAGCTAACAGACAAGTTATGCCGGGTCAGTTTCGAATACCCAACCCTGCCACACGACAAAAGGAACCAATGCTATTTCATCTTTGATTGGTAGAAGTGCATAACTTCTCCACATACGGGAGTGATAAATTCAATGCATGTCCAATGTTTTAGGTGGCTTCGATAAGCGCTTGAAAGAAGATGCTGAGTACTTGAAGGAGCTCAGAAGTTTAGCAGAAAAGGAAGGAGTGTCCAATCAGGTTAACTTCATCACATCTTGCTCAACAGCTGAAAGAAATGCACTTCTCTCCCAATGCCGATGTGTCCTTTATACACCAAAGGTCCAAATTACACTGTTTTGTTCCGTTTGATGGGATATAGGTCGGAAAATAAAATTGATATGAGATAATCTGATTGAAGACCCGTAGATGGCACAGAGGGTTCTGCTTGGCTATTGCTAAACTGATCGAAAACCCACAGATGGCGCAGAGAATGGGCATCTATGTGCGACGGCATGTGACAGATTCATTCTCTACAAAAATATTTGGTTGGCATTTGAATCAATACCTTGTTGATGTTGCCGGGATGAAAGAAGGCTGAAGACTGCATGACCTTGTAGTATAAGTTGTTCAATTTAATCGCCTAGACTTAAATAAAATTTTGTTGCGTTTAATATATCCATGAATTTACTCTGAGTGTGTCATCTTTTATGCCTTTCGTCTTTTGCTTGATGTTCCATTTTTCTAAAGTTCATCTGTTTGGTCATGTAGTTGACAGATGGTAGTGACTTGTGAATGAAGAGCGAAGAATCTGATTTTCTGCGAAGGTTATGCTTCTCCTGCAGTGTAACATGAATAGGATGTCAATGTATGTAATGTTAAGAAAAGGCTTGACCAACACTGGAACTCTCAAGCCATGTCTGGCATGCATGCCGTATTAAATAACACCATATATCTTCCAAGTTTCCAAGAATCTAGCTCAAATCAAGAAAGTGGTAGCTCTTCAAAGAGACGGTTATGGCTCAAATCAAGGATCTCAAGTCGATTCAAAGACAAGAAGAACTAAATTTCAAGTGAGCCATAAAGTGAACCGTGGGAAAGGTTCACGTGGGTGAGATATGAGAGATTTGCAACTGAAGAGGAAGAGATACCTCCTTTGAGCTTTTTGGAAGGTAAGAGCAAACGGGTGACCCAACCATCTTGATCACAAGTGATGCCCTCCTAACGACAGCAATCAATGGATGTCCTATTTAAAGTAGGGCTTCTGCCTTTGAGGGGAATCCAAAACTTTGTGGTGCCCCACTTCCAAATAAGTGAGGACCAAGTAAGGCCATTGATGCAAATAAAAAGAACAATAAAGACGTGGACAATGGACTTCATCAACTTTAGTGGTTTTATATTTTCATTGCGTTGGGGTTCGTAGTGAGATTTTGGGGATTTTGTGTTTCTTTAATTATTAACAAGACATGGAGATACACATATTTTCGATTCATAGACAATCTACAAGATATGGTCTATGTGATGGTAACAGTGCGCATCAACACGATGAAAAAAAGGCTTAGAGGCTAGATATATATTATTAATATTGTACTTTTTATTTTGCATACTCAGTCCAAAGATATGAAAACTGATGCATATGCATGTAATACGGTTGTCAATTGTGAAGGATTGATGTCTATGTCTCAGTAACGAAGATTAATGTCTATTGCTAATATTAAAAAATAAAAATTCTGCTGAATGTGAAAGTGCAATTGCCTTCTTGTGGAGCAAACAACTTGGAAAGAATGACTATCCTCCAATTTTGAATTTTCTTACTAGAATCATCAACAAGAAAAACATCTTTGAACTTGGACTTTGAGTTATTAACATGGAAGATGCGCTGGTATCACTTATCTTCCAGCATGGATATTTCTCTCTTCAACGTATAGTTATGGTTGTTTGCTAATTTCTTACTTTGAGTACTTTGAAGGCCTTGTATAATTAACGTTTGTAAGTGGTTAACCGCTTGATAAAGATCTTAGTGTGTATTTAACTATGAGTTACTGCGGCTCTGACTTTGGTGTTATTAAGTAAATTTGTATTATTTGGTGGCTCTACTTCCTCATCATATCATGGTTGTATGATTTATTCTTATGACTATGGTTTGACTCACACCATGATTCGAGAATATTCCTTATTTTCGAATCGGGTTGTGACATAACAACTTTAAAATATTAGCTTAAAATTTTAAAAGACATTAAAAAATATTGTAAAAAAACCCCAACAGCACCCACCAGTCCAGGAGTTCTCTCGGCCCAATAACCATCATCTACCAAAACCCCAACAGCACCTACCAGCCCAGCTAACTCTCAAGAAAAATACGAAAACTCCCCCAAAAATGATTCACACATTCCACCCGTACTCCGCCGCCTCCACTGGCATCTGCAACTTCTCGACCCTTCCTAGCTCCGGAAGAAGTACTCATGGTGGTACCCTTGAACCAAGATTCGAACGCGCGACCCTCTGGAACCACATCTTCGTCATCTGCATCATAGGCCTCTTCCTTGACCCCATCTACTTCTTCCTCCCCATCATCGGCGAATCCTCTTGCATGAAAATCGACACAGGGTTTCAGCAGCTGGATTAACTCTTCAGATTGGAGACTAGCCAAATTCGTTCAGATGTTTTTGCTTCACAAACGTCTTCTGCTCAATTAGTAGCAAATTGATTTCATCTTAAGTTTTTATGCCCACAAAGATTTTTTAGTACTAAAAAATTGTGGTTAGAAAATCCCTTTGAATGTGAAAAGAGAAAAGGATGAACAAATAAAAAAGGGTAAATTTTACTTTACTAATCAGAAGTTTCCTAAAATTCAGACTTTACTGCATCAAGTTTTTTTGTATCAACTTCGTACTAAAAGTTTGACTTTTCTACTATTTTCATACATCTGTCAGTCATTCTGTCAAATGCTCTATTAGACGATGACTTGGCAAATGATGTGGGATTTAAGAAACCCACAAATTATTTAAAAATAATAAATATTTAAAAAAAAATTGAAAAACCTCTCCACCTCTCCACCTCTTTTCTCTTCTTCTATCTTTGTACATGACCACCCAATCCATCCCTCCCCTCTCTCCGACAGCCACTAACCCAACCACATCAATTGAATCAATGCTTAACCAGCATCTTTCCTTCTCCTTCAATTAATCAAACATGTTGATGCTAAAAAATGGTCGGATACTTTTGGGCCCAACTTAGTGATGATGTCACCTTCGGCCTCATATGAGCTTCAGTAGAGCGATCAATCTGCAAGAGAATGGATACTCGATAAGCCCTTTGGCAACGGTGTGGTACCGGCCGAAGCTGAAGGCCCTCCGATGCTTATATTAGAATAAGTACGGAGGGAATAGTGATCTGGCCAAAGTAACGGCAGGATTGCCGAATGTCGTAGTTACCTCCTTTTTGGGACTTGTGCCTTATCTTATAGATTTTGGGAGGCGTGCATCTTGAGTGGAGTTTCGATGTGGGACTCTGGACATTGTCTGAGGAAGCATCACGTATACTTGTGAGAAGTTCCAGATGAAATGAGTCTTTTGCCACAGTCGACAATCCTAGGTGCTAAGAGCTAGCCTTGCCGATGGTCCTTCGTTGGATGTAATCGACTATTGGCTTTTTAGTAGGTCATCATTGTGGGTCCCTTTTTCCACATGTAATCTTCTGATTGGTTGGTCGGATATGGTGTAAACAAAACCCAAAAAAAAGAAAAATTTGAGTAATGCTACACTTACCACATTTTTATCCCACATTTCTATACCACATGATGTGGCATGTCCATTTTATATGCCACATCAATTAAATCAATGAAGTGCATTTTAATTAAGGCAATTAGAAAAACAAATACTGGAATAAACCATAAAAGAAAAGAAAATATTAAATCATTTTAATTGATGTGGCTGTCCACCTCAGCCGCTACATAATGTGGTATGAGAATGTGGTATACAAATGTGGTAATAGTAGCATTATCCAAAAAATTTATTGTGTTTCTTTTACTCATAAAACTTACTTCTCCTATTCAATTAATGAAACCCAGTGAAACAAAACAAAAATGTTTTGTTTGTGTGGTATTAAGTCACTCATGTATCTTACCATGCAATGTATAAAGTGTAAAATGTTGTAGTAAATCATTATATATAAATGATTATGGTGTGTTTAATTTTCTTTCATTAATTATTACATATTTTCTACACTCACAGTGTTTGTCAACTCGCTATATAATCTACTTAAATCAGTTAACCCATCATAGAATGCATTTCATTCTAATCTTTTGTGATAAACTAATAGATAATTAATTGAATAAACATCCTCCAAAGTTTCAATAAAAATTTTCAAGTTTTTCTTACAATTTCCGTGGTTTTAATTCAATTTTTTATCGATATCGATAATATCTCGATATTTCCATCGAAATTTCCATGTTTTTGGACCACCGATATTTCCGACACCATCCATATTTTAGACCATGATTGAGATGAACATCGAAACTTCGAGCGCAATTTATTGAAAGCTTTAACTAATACAATAGGACCTAGTCCTTATTCAGAATGTCAAACAAAAGGGTGTCTTGAGTAAAATCATTGAGCATCTCTGACCAAAGAGTCATTATTGAAAGCAGTCCCCTCATAATTTAATTTTTAACAGCTAACACTAGAGCAAAATAGACGTAAGGAAATAAAAACTATAATGGCGGCTTGTAGCTTCAGCGTTTGTGACCATTTGCCCCCACCTAAGGCCAAAGTTCTAAATAATCACTCCTCCCATTTTGTCACCTTTGAGACCATGTTAAATTGATGCACAATAGGTGAGAGTAATTAACTAACAAGATGCATCGTTGTCTTTTGTATTCTCTACTCATTAGAATTTAAGTACATCGACTTGTACCAATTAGTGATTAGTTCAGCGATATTTCTTTTCACACATATTCAGATTATATATATACATATATATATATACAGTCCCCTTCTATTGAGGGATCCCTCAAATAATTTTATTTGAGGAACGCCTTTTAGGGTACCCTACAATTTTTTTCCCAATGATCCAAATCATCTATTTTTTAGGTCTTCATTCATAGATCATCCTTACAAAAAATTAGACAAATCGGAAACCGTTTCAACATCCAATTGTGTCTTACAAAATCAATGAACACGGTACTTCAAGAAAGTACTAAAATTTCAATAACTCAATTGAGTGGTCAAATGATGTCGGATTCAAGTGATTTTTTGTAGAGATGATCTTTGAATGAGTATCTACAAAAGAGACGGTTTGGATTAGTGAAATACAATCCAGAGTGGGGCCTACAAGGGGTGTCCCTCAAATAAGCTTATTTGAGGGATCCCTCAATGGAAGCTCTCTGTATATATATATATATATATCTGATAGTTTTTTTTTCCCGAAATCACACCTTATAATATGGTGATGACTAATAATTTGTAGTGTATTTAGACATGTAGTAGTGACATGATGATTCCGATGGGCGGCATCAGCAACGACAGCATGTTTCCAGCTTACCAATTCGACCTAAAAGACTACATCAAATCCTGCAAGGCACAGTGTGGCGTCCCTCCTCGGCCTCATTTGGCCACTGCGTACTTTGGAGGCCATGTATGTATCAATCAATTATCTTATAATTATATATATTCTCAAAATGATATCACTCTTCTTTTTTTTTCTTTTTCATATTTCAAAACTAATGCTAGCAAAAATTAATTGGGATGCCAAACAGGATATAAAACTAGCACTTGAAAGGTTCATATTGTTAGATTGAAGATAATAATACACAATAGGTTTTCAATATCGAGAGGGTGCAATTTTTGGCATGAGCAATCCTAGAATGCATCATCTAGATCTTTCCCCTTTCCAATTTATGCTTTATTAATTTTACTTGATTTTCCTTGGTTCAGAAAATTCCCAGCAAACAAAAGATCTTATAAATCCAGCTAACCATGTTTCAGCTCTAGTCAATCACTTGGACCAAACAAAATTCCCAGCAAGTGCATGGAGGATGGAGCAATAATCTTTATTTTATAATATATATGATAATAGAATGATTTTTATTTTATTTTTTCCCCATCCTTGTTAGATTACGAAAGCTTGCAGACTTCAGTTTGTCGTGGATTGCTGGTACCATTTGCATTACTCCATTTTCTGTCTTCTTCATAGTCTCCCAATTGTGATGAATAGCCAAAGATTGTCTGCCAGATGTGGTTGTGGTTGTGGATAATATGGTTTTCATCTTGAAAGAAACACAAATAAAGAATCTTCGAAAATCTTCAGTACGACGTAACCTCTCTGCTGTCCACGTCACTCTTGTTTTACCAGAGTTATAAGCCTTCACTACCTTTTTTTGTCGGTCTTCAAAACAACAAGAACAAATCCATTAATTCATACTTGATTAATATTTATTAAAAAAAATCACAAATTAATTGAAATGTTTGATAATAATATTTTCCTAACTTGAGGGAGAATCATGGAATAAATATAGTAACAAGTTAAGTGATCAAATACTAACACATGTATGTTGAAATTTCTATCGAGTGTCAAATTGCCACTTAAATCAACGAATCCAAATTTAACGTTTTGCATTATAGCTCATTTTTGTCGAGGTTTTATGAAAAGTTTCAACTTTTTATATTAGTTTTCACATACACAAGATGTGAAGTGATCTAATCTTGTGAGAAGAAGTATAGTCTTCAGGAGAAAGTAGTAAAAAAATGTTTTGTAAACTCACATGAGTAATCTTTATTAGTGAGCGGAGGAGAGACTTAAAGCAAAAGTGATGAAAACTTCCAATTTCTACTAAAATTATGATGAATCTCAGCCCCGCAGAGAAATTAATTTCAGTAGACATTGGTAGACACAGCAAGTTTGTAAAGTAGAAATTATGTGCTTCACAAATCTTGGGCTTCAATTAAATATATATATCACTTTGCGCACAGTTTGGGCTTGTATTAATATATCAGTTTGTGCATATTTTTCTTCCTCACGTTGGTGACAAGTCTAAGTTCGGCGCATGCAAACACCCATGGAAACTTGTTCAAGCTCAACCGACACCCATGCAATTCCTCAACACACCCAAGCCAGCTCAAACTTATCCAATACTAGAATGACAAGGCGAGCTAGCAAGAAGAAAGGATAAGCCAATGCAAGAAGCTTAGAGAATTACATAACACTCTTGTGAATTCACCCCAGAACATCATTGCTTGCCAAACATAAGCTATGTAGGTAACAATGGTAAATGAAGGGTTCACTATGCCACCTAGACAAAGATAAATAATAAAATAACAGTTGCTTTAGCTATTTGTCTTACCTCTTGGAGTAGCAAATTTTTATGGCAAATTAAATGCCACATACATTATACATAGGCTTGTCAAAAGGACACATTTGAGGTAGCATGACAAACACTAGTCTTTAGCTCTAAAAGAAGCTATAATGTAATATTTACTATTAATAATAACAATATATATTGTAAATATCATATAGCTAGGTGCAACTCCACTCTACATGTGGAGAGGCAGAGAAATGATGGGGTGAGAGACAAACATATAGGTGCAACTCCACTCTACACTCAACAAACCAACAAATAAAGAAGTGGAC